TAGAGAAATTTGAGGCACAAGCTGAATACACTGAATCAAACAAGCAAGTGAAGAGAAGCGTTAGAGTTAACTAGCGGAAATACGTAGAATAGCTAGCAACAGCAACCGCAAAAGCTGCTCGAAAAGAAAATATAAAGTAACTGTATGAAACAACAAAGAAACTAGCGGGCAAATATTGAAAGACCGGTCAAGGACAAATAAGGCTTTAAATATTCAAACAGTCCTTTGATTCTAACGGTATTACAGCAGTATTATCAGAGGTAACCCCGCTAGCATCATCCCTTCCATTCACAGACAAGCTTATTTGTGGGGACTTCGACGTGCCTAAAATTTCTTGGTTTTCAATTAAGGCTCTGAAACGTCATGAATAGTTTATTGAATGTCTAGATCTTGAACAGTGGACCCAGTATGTCAGTAGCTTCACCAGCACATTATAATGTCTGGTACTTAGACTTTACGAATAACCTCACTCCCAATACTATGTATTTCGGAAAAAGGTTTACAGGTAGCGGTCATAACATTGTCATATGTAGTCCTGATATAAAAACCACAACCTATAGACGTGAAACTGTAACACGTCGTAGAAACTAATTCATGGTCGATCGGAAAAACTTCAAAGATCATATAAGAAGTACTGATTGGGGAGATTTTTACTGTAAACAAATCCGACACTCTAACTAATATATCCTATCACTACATCAGAAATATCTTTAACAAAACCGCACCTTAAGAATATTGGGGGATTAAATGTTCTGAAGGTCTGTATATATCGATCTGTACGTGAAAACGTCTTGGAAGACTTTGTACCCTATTCTACAACTTTAATGACTTCTCGTCTTCAGTAATAATGACAGAAATATTTGTCCAGGTAGAGGCAATACGTAAACAAAAACAGTCACAGAGGAAAATCGTGGTGTCGGACCTGATAATGACTCCTCCACACCCACCATATTTCTTTTCAAAACAAACATAAACGCTTTAAATCGAAAAAAGGAGACATATTTATTGAGGACAAACAAGTATACGAAGATCCAAACTTTTTACGGACTATTTAGTGAAGACTTTTGTTCCTCGTTAACTAACAAAAATCACGTCTCACTCTAGAGACAAGAGCTAGTATGAATTTAATCTGATATTTTATCACATCCGTGTCTGTTCCACTACACAATGTCAGGTATTGTTTATCGTTCATATCCAAGTGCCTTGCTGCTCCTCGGTTTTTTTCAGAATCTTGCTCTGAGGACATTGCTGTGGGACTTCTGACATCTGGAACAAACTAGACGTACGTGTTTTTCCAATATCATAATTCACACCATGCGCTCTACAAGTCTACTTTATAAGAACCACAAACTTAAGACTTGCATTGCGTAAATACCTTTCAGTGTGCAAAGTGGACGCTATAGCACTTTGGAAAATATTTTGAAGACTACTCAGTATATCTAAACCAATGCACTGATATTCGCTTTTATAGAATATGTTTATCTTACATGCATACTGTGAAACAATAAATGTTGTAATTTGTAGATCATGCCTGTAAAAACAGCGAATACTTGCCCTTGCAGAATTATGTTATATTATATTGTTTATGAATGCTTTACATTTTTGATGATGGTTGTAGTATTTCTGTAAGTTTCTGCTTCGTACATGAGAACTGTCATGATGTTCGTATTGAAGAATCTGACTTCGATGTTGGTTGAAAGTTGTTTTGAGTTCCATATGTTCTTCAACGGAGGCCCTTGTTTTACCAGTCCCCGCCTTTAAGTCTTCATTGGATACTCCTTGTTTATTGATGATGCTTCCCATGTATGTGAAAGTGTCCACATTTTCCAGAGTTTCTCCATCAAGTGTGATTGAGTCTTGTTGTCCAAGGAACAATGCATTATTTCTTCGCAAAGCGATATATGGACTCTCATTTCAAACCTCCTGCCCGACTATGATCTATGGCCCAGTCTGCAGACTCAGAAACATCAAATATGCACTATTACAGTAAAACATCAAAAACCACTGCGTTGCAAGTTTTTTATATTGCGGTATAGTTCATTATGGAACAGGTTGACAATACCCATCTTTAACACTATCACACAGTTCAAAAAACTAATAACCCTGTTACTAGACTCTAAAAAGCTTCATCAACTAATAACTGAAATCCAGCCCATCACTGAGGCACTTTATTATGAACCGCCTAATATCTAGACCGATCATGAATATAACAGACCTCAATGTCATTAATATGAATATAATCGAATGATAGAACACATGGTTTACTCTCTCCCATTATTGATTGATCACTAGTCATGCCCTTATGCTTCTACTTCTCACTATCAGATTTCGAATTCTCTATTGGTTAATATCGCATCATCCTTCCTAAGTATCACGTCCTATGACCTATGAAGTTGTGGTTATTGTTTGGCGCATCAAAGGAAAAGTAGGAGACTGAAGGTGGTACCGTACCAATTTTGACTGGCTACCATTCAGCTAGTTTCCACTTATCCCCACTCTGTCTTCCGCAACATAGGAGGTAACATGTTCATTCTTAAACAGGACCAGTTATTCAAGAGCTCCTGGATAAGACCTAGGTTAAAAAACTTTGTAGACACATTCCTATAGTCCGAAGATGCCACAGGTATTCAGAGTTTGACAACACTTTAACCAGTAACACCTAATATGAATCGTACCCACCAAGTGAAATCAAAAGGGAGAAGCGAGGAGGTTCGAAGATATATTTGATAGGCTATCAATATATCGAGGATCGTTTGATCTAATCTGGCTAGCGATCGCAGGGGTTGTTGAGAACGGCGTTCCCACTCGTGATCTAGTGCGGATGCATGACCGGGCGTCTTCAGCTAGGCGAGTCCATTAAAACTAATGTGGTCGACATCCAATGTCGAAAACTTACAGAGCTATTTACTTCGGGGATTTATTTACCGCTACAAGTCTATGGTTATCACACCGATATACTGACAGACCATTATCTACGGCTGTCGTCCTATCCTTTCTCGCAGTTAGTAATTTGGTCAAGCGCAAATGCTTGCTTCGAATTCTGTGTTGCTCGACAGTTAATAAATTGCATGATTTTATGAGACTTAGTAGCTTAGTCCGAATTATCTTTTCGAGTAACGTAACTACTAAGCTGGTCGGCAGTTAGATACGATCGGTCTTTGAATATCTTTAAACATAGGACTGACCATATCATCTTCCTAGTCCCTGTAGGTTAAGTGTAGGAAAGAGACATATTCAAGATTTACGTGATGGGCATTGAAATAATGTCCAAGGGAGATGACAACACCCGTGGATATAGCCTATTAGAGCTTAGTATCATACTACGTTTGAGGTTAACATTCAATCGAACAACTGTTCCCTCACTCACATGTACAGGTCCCATAGCCGTTACCTCAATGGCGTGAATGTTATAAGTATTGTTGGCAATACCCATAGGGCAGACTCCGGTGAAATTGTTTGGTAAATTATCAGCTTAGGTCAGATCCGATCAAACAAGTATATCTGGATTTTCGTGCAACAATAATAAAGAAATACCATTACTAAGCTTTGTTCTTCGCTAAATGTAAAAAGAACAATTGTTTCGCGAAAGTGCCGCTATCACTTCCATCTGCCTTTCGTATATAGTACGGCATTTAGCTATGATCTTTTAACATACATTCCGGATTTTTTGGTATCTACACGGAAGTGATTCGTATCCTGTTGACAAGAATAAGTTCCAGAATTGTTTCTTGCACTTCAACAGATTTCAGCTTTCCTTGTTAATCCATGGAGGGCAGCGTGATAGCCTACGTTTTGACCATGAGACATACGTTGATGTTACGGACTCGTCTTCGATTCACCCAACTACACTGACCGACCAGTCTGTTGAAACAGCACAGACTCTGATTATTGGAATGCAAGCTAACCGGATATTTGGACGTGGTCAGGCAGATAGGTGCCGCATATCACGTATCCGAAACTTAAATTAAAGTACAACGTGACAACTATTTGCTGGTAGAGGAAGGTGCTGAATGTGTATGAAACAGTCATAGTGGTGCATAAGGACAAGATCGGGCTATGATGGCTCATGTTCTAAGTCTACGTGTGTCGGTTTCGCAACATATTACACAAACGCACACCGATTAATGGTTGATAGCAGGTTGCCGTCGAAAAGTGTTTTGAGAAGTACCCTGTCAACCCATACAGGTCTCTGAAGCAAGACGTGACCATTCAAAAAGCCTGAATTTCAAGGATTTTTTCCAGTTAACTTTCGAGTTTTTAACTCTGTAAGGCCATTTTTCACTCATAGCAGACTCATTATTGTTAGACTTCTCCACATTCCAAACAATTAAACTAGGTTCAGATTTCACTTATTTGAAAATCCTGCCTATTGGTTACTGTTTGGGGGACAAGCTTCTTTTAAGCAACACTAGGTCATTTCTTATTCTTCATCTCTGCCCAGTTATCAACGTTCATCGGAGTAGCAATCACAATGAGATGATTATCGATGCTGGTTTTTCTGATAGAAACAAATCTAACTTTGCGGTTAGGTTTTCTAGGTGTTGCCTGCTCGCTGCCAGTTATATGACGAGAGACAGAAGAAACCTCCTTTCCTGAGCCTTTTTCTCTAATAGACCTCTTTATAAACCGTTCTTCGTCTGTTGGCCAATGTAAGTCAATCGACTCTGAGCTTAATTGAGGTAACTTCACATCGATTTCCCTACCAACCGAACGGATACCGCCTAATGTGTTTCGATTAGGCTTGCTAATGCTCTTTTGGCAGAATTCAACATTACAATGGCTTCGTAAGCAAGGTGTTTGAGTTCGAGCAGAACTGTTGGCACACACACGTAACTATTTTTACCAAACCAGTCCGTTACGTTTTCTGAAGAATTTAAACGATTGCAATGTTGTTTTCCGACGAAAAGCTTCTTTCCTAAACTAAGATGTACATTCCCGAAAACTTATGATTTTTTTAATGTATCCAAGTTAAAAACTTTGAATATGGCTCAACTACCTTTGCGGAACCGAAACAAATTTAGGCGCAGAGTCAAACAGATTATTTGTTTGTGCGATATGCTTGTGTGCAACTACAGAAAATGTAGACAGCCCTTGAAAATCTGTGCCGTTGGCACTGTATGCAAACACATATTCTGCATTAATCACAGTCCTCTTCAACTTAAAACTTCTGATGGAACATTTCAGTGCCCAGCCTGTAAATACCGACTTAAAGAAAATTCTGATATAATCGAAGTAAGATTTACCTAAAAACTATCAATATGCATCAGGTTGACCTACAGCCGTGCGAACAGTTTAGAAGCATGATTCTGATGGGTCAAACACCTGACACAGTTTTCGATGTGTGTCGAAGAGCTATTGAATTCTTCACCTTACAAACAGCTCAGGGAGTTAAATATTTAGAGTATATTAACTACAAACTGGAAGAAAAGTATAAAAACATGGAAATTCAGTGCAAGTCGTTGTTGGGCAATCTTGAACAGAAAATTAACAAACTACAAAATGAAAAGGATGCTGTATGGGCAATTTATTAGTATTTTATACCTTATTTAGATAGAAAAGGAATGTGAAGAACTAAGAGACAAACTGGTTGCATCAACTCATAAATTGTCACAACTCGAAGGAGATATTAGCAGGTTAAATTTATCTAAACGATCTGACTCCGACCGAACTTGTTTTTCCGATCATATACATATCAGATCAGCACAATCAACTCAGTCTTCAGATACTCTAAATCCAAAGTTTCCTAGATGCTCACCTGACTCGACGTACCCAAGTCCTTTTGGTTTGGGTAATCGTCAATCACATTTTAATTTCCCGAAACGGTCTGAGATTAGTTCATCCAATTTGTTTTTAGCCCATACTTCACGCAAATCACCGACTAAAATGCTACTTCCTAACCATTTTCTAAACAATAGCCTTCGAAATCTTTCAAAAATCTCCAGTAAACCACTTTACAAGTGAAAAATTATGTTTGTTTTGTTCTGAAAATTTTATAAATAAACGTAACTGTGTTTATAAACCAACTGAACATATTATTTTACTCAAAATGTGGATAACGGTGAAGATGCCACAGGTATTCAGAGTTTGACAACACTTTAACCAGTAACACCTAATATGAATCGTACCCACCAAGTGAAATCAAAAGGGAGAAGCGAGGAGGTTCGAAGATATATTTGATAGGCTATCAATATATCGAGGATCGTTTGATCTAATCTGGCTAGCGATCGCAGGGGTTGTTGAGAACGGCGTTCCCACTCGTGATCTAGTGCGGATGCATGACCGGGCGTCTTCAGCTAGGCGAGTCCATTAAAACTAATGTGGTCGACATCCAATGTCGAAAACTTACAGAGCTATTTACTTCGGAGATTTATTTACCGCTACAACGGATTTTAGATGATGGCGTTTTTAAAACTGTTTCGCATTTGCTGAACCATTGTTTTAGTTTACCTGTTAATACTGGGTCGTTTAGGCTATTTGATTTTGTTGGTTTACAAGTAGCCCCTAAAACTGAGATTCACTGTCTGAGATTCAAATAAAAGATAACATTAACGCATCATTATTAAATTATTAAGACACAAATAAGCCAAATGAACGACGGTGGAACTAACATGAATCCTTGTTAATGAAACCTGAGGAGTGAGTTGTTGGCTAAACCAAAAGCTGACTGCAATCATTCTTAAGCCTTGAGATATCATTAAGGGATTAACTATACGGTTTATAAACATCACATCACACAAAAATTGTTTATACGCTGATCTTTTGAACAAACTATGAACTTGCTTTATGACCCCAGAAAATATTTCATAAGGTGGCCAAGGATAAAGGGACAACCAAATCGAAGTGTTGGCGGAACGAAAACAGGGCTTTGAGTTTTATAGTATGGATGGCCAATCTGGAACACATGATGATTGAGAGTTCTTAACTGTGTGCTAAAAGTTTTCCTCATATCTGTCCTGATTAAGCTGTTCTACTTTTGTGTTATGAACATGTTCACCAACTTCATAGGATGGCATATGTGCACAAAGAAGCGAAGTTTAATGGCAGTTTTATCTGTCTGTCTTATGTTCGAAAATAACTATCTTAATCACATTTCCGGGGTGATAGTAAAACATGTTTATTGGCTTTGCTTCTAATCTATAATCTTTTTATTCAGTCTTATGAGCGAATCTCAAGTAAATAAAAAGCATTTGGTTTCGGCACTCTGAAATTCACTAAATATGGGTATAAAATCTTGAAAAGTTTATAGAATGAATAAGGTGCACAGATGTGTATGCGGTAACAACAACGACAACGTTCTACACTACTGGTGAGTAGTATAATTTTTACATCAAAGGAATGATGAACTTTTCAAATCATTTCTTCTCTTACGAGAATAACTGGTCGAAGCCACTCAAAAAACTACAAGTTCTGCAGATAATTGTTGATAACTGCGGAATGACACGAGCTTAGAGTTAGGCATAAATAAAGTATGATGAAATTATTAGTTTTTCCTGTTAGCCTAATTATAGATGTTTTAAGTAGAAAAAAGACTTTTGTAGTAACGAAGTATAACAAAAATTTTACTGACAATTGTCATACGATATTCGGAAGTATCCAAATCGCATTATACTAAACAGGACTTATCAAATCTATATACTTGGATCCCCAAAGTGGTAGGCACTTTAATGTCTTCGAATGTATATAAATAATTTTTCAGTCAAGTATTTACCTTCCTTACAATGTACATGTATATTTATTTGGGAAAGCACCTCGGTTTCCAAATTTTTCTCCTCCTTTGGATTGATCCTTTCGTTTTTAACGCAGTGCTAATTTGCGGTTCTGAGTAAAAGCATTCGAAATAAATATTAATTACTCTGTGTTTATTCTATAGTACCTAAGAATCAGCATAATCTTGTCAGTCGATTATATTGTGTAGGTAAATTTCATATGTATCTTGTGTTCAAATATATTTAAATGTTAAAGTCTCTTCACGAAATTGCTGAAGTGAAATGTATATTCATCTAAATATGGATTGATGAATATTATTACTTTTTAGAGGTATTGTGTTAACAATGAATTTAATAACTTTATTCTGAAATTTCGATTCCCTTTAAGGTAAATGCTAACCAAATCTGAAACACGCACTTGTATATTTACAATTGATTGATTACGTAGTGCTGGCCCTTGCCATATTTGTTTAGCTTAGAATTCTGCTGATCAGGTGGGACTATGTACCCCGGTCTGCGAGGCTTGATATAGCATGCACTATGTTAATATTTTAGGTTGTTCAGAGCTAGCTGATAGAAAACTCAGATCCAATACCCCTTAACCACCTAGCGTAATTTAGTATAGTGTGGAATGTAAAACAAATAACTGAAAAATTATACATAACTCTCTTGGCAAAACGAATAAGATTTTGATTCAATGAATAAACAAGTGATTTTCACAAGCTGCTTTGTACGTAGAGAAACTATTGCAAATTGGAAATAGAACAAAATTTCCAAGCGTTTAGTTAAAATGCAATTAATATCAATACGGATTAAAAACTTGTAACCTTAACAAGATCGCAAAACATAATTCAGCGAAAGTTAAACTCAGTCATCAACTTTATTATGTTATATCTAGATCATTAGGACTATGTGGTTTAAAAGTATTCGTTCTACTCAGTTTTTTATCATTTTATATTGTGTTAATATTTAACAATGTTTGTCGTCTTGAGGTCACTCATGTTAATATGATTAAATATCTCAATACTTCGAATACAATCTAACTATACACTGCTTTTCAGTTGTAAATTGAATCCCCGCTTTTGAACTGTTGTTTTCTTAGCCAGTTAAGCTAACTAACCTTTACACAAAAGATATTCACCAAAGCTAGCCTTATAACCTTCAGTGTTACGCAGTTATAAGTTGTCAATCCGAACCATAACATTCACTTCACTTCTAATTAAGAAGAATTAATGAAATCACCTGTGGAAAATATGAGAATAAATCACATAAAATCTAACAATAATTATTACAAGAGTAAAAGTGATCTTAGTAAAATTCATACTAACATTTATGAGTAACTAAATCAGTATTCTTTCGAAAAGTAAATCTCTGAGTATTAGCAACTGAGGTTCTTTATTTTGCCATAATATAATACAAACAATAACTTGATGAAATAATCTGAAGACTATTTTTACACTTGGTGGGGAAACATGAGTTGATTATTGAGTGGGTATTAATATCATCTTTGTCTGTTCTACAGTGTTGGTTCAGGTCTATCTTTCATCCCGTGATTTAGGTAAACAGACATGTTTTTATAGAAAATGACTGAAGGTAATAAGTAAAAAGCCCAGAATATAAGTTTTATACTGTTTAGCACTCGTTACTAAAATGTATCTGCAATTTTAAAGAAAATGAGGATACCTATGAAACTCGGGCTAATAACATTTAGCAAGTGAATGTAAAATTAAGCTACGAAACAATCAGTTTTCAGTATAACCTTGATATATCATTACATTTACATTTAACTAACTGCTCTCTAAATGAAGCACAAGTCAATAAACTGAAATAAATACGCAGTCTGTCAAATAAGGTTCAATCGTTTTGTTTTAGATATCCGTTTTTTAGTTGTAAGGGATATTTGATCTTGATTAAGAGGGCACTCCGACCAAACAAAATAACTAATTTGTTCTTACTTACTTCTTTACGCTTTTTAACCCTCGTGGAAGAGCATAGGCTAACCACCAGAATTCTCGACCCAACCCTATCCTGGATAATCCTTTCCAGTCTTTTTCCTGTTGCTATGTATTCTTTTCATGTCTGTTTCCAATTCCCACAGTGTTGCTATTTGGTCTGTACACGACCGATCTTTACGGAATTCGACTTTTTCATTTCGAAGCTGGATGTCTACTGAATCTTTCATACGGTTCAGCAACACTCTGTCGAAAACTTTCCCTGATACCGATAGTAGTGCAATCCCTCTATAGTTCTCACATTTACTCGGATCTCCTTTCTTTGGTATATTGATGAGCTGTCCTTCTTTCCAGTCTGTCGGCACTTGTTCTTCTTCCCAAATCCTCCTGGAAAGAACGTGAAGCAGGATTGCAGTTGCTTTTATGTGTGACTTGAGAGCTTCAGCTGGTATATTGTCAGGTCCTACTACTTTCCCTCTTTTGAGTCGTCTGATAATCATCCTGATTCTTTCCGTGGAGTGACATCTATAGGAAGGTCTGTGTGTGCTGCTTCGATATCCAATGGGTTCAGTGGAGCTGGTCTATTCAAGAGTTCCTGGAAGTATTCTACCCATGTTCGTAAGCAAATCAAAAGATTACAAACTTTAAAAAAAATAAAGAATTGATGCTCCAAAGTGAAGAACTTTTACTCTAGTGACCATTTTAAACCGTTGAACACTATCTCACACTTACGATATCAGCAAATATTATATCAGGGACTTTTAAACCTTATAGCCAATGCACCACCTTCAGACCATGTAGTTTTAACATCGACCAATTTACATTTACCGCCTGAATCTACGGTGTCAACTATCTTTAAGTTCATCAGTCACCATAAACTTATTCATATAATAATAAAATAATTTATCACATTTCTACAGCAGATATCAAATAAGTGCAAAGGTAATAATTGTATCAATTCTATTTGCTACGGTCTTGATTAGTATCTATATTCGAGTTTATCATAAGTAAAGAAAGTAACTAACTGTAGCCTGATGGGAAACAGAATTTTACCCAATTTCCATTAAGTATAATAAATAATGTATATTTGATGTTGATACTTTATGTATATGACTAAAGCACGTTGTGACAGCCTTAAAACAGTTTTGTATTCCACCTTGAGAATGTAAACGTTTATCACTACATTAACGCTACTATTGATAGTACTATTAAATATCTTATAGTCAATAAGCGGTTGATAAAATTAACATTCCTTAACTTGAAAAATATTGTCATAAATGTATATCTTTTTAAACTTATATTCTATTTCAGAAATAATTTTTCAAGTTA